TTTTTTTTTTTTTTTTGTGATGGAAAGCACGTTTTAGAAAAAGCGAAAGAAAAAGTTTTCCAGTCAGGGTGCACTGATCGAAGACAACTGAAAGAAGGCTGGGAGCTATTCTTTCAAGACGAGGTTATGAAACCAAACTGATAAAAGTGGGCAACTGTGTGAGTAAGCATGAAAAAAGCAAGGTCTTATCAGCTGGTCTCACAGAAGATGCAAGTTAGGATGAAGAGATAGGCTTTCACATACCAAACCACGCTTCGGGCATGATCCAGAGGCAGTAAGCTTCAAGCTAGAGTACAGGTAAGTATGCAGCTTTGTGAATTAGTCACACCTGAAGACTCCCCCCAAAGATATCCTGTACCGAATTAACTGACATCTTGAATATTATTGCAGTCATACTGACCTACTGCTACAGTATGCGTTAATGATTTCACAACATAAAATTGGTGAGCGTTGGTTATGAGAGAATGCTAGTAGACCTGGGCAGAAATGCATGTCCTTTGTACTGCTTACCATGAGAAAGTGACACTTAATTGCTCCAGTTACATCAATAGCAAAATTAAAATTTTATTTTCAAATCGTTGGATTCGATGCCAAACTAAGAGAGGATAATGTTACCTGTTGACTTATGGGGCACTCTGGAAAAGATTAAGAGACAACATCTTATGCTTCATATTTACACTCAGATTACCTATGAATTCATTTTATGAATTGTTGTAGGGTGTATTTACAAGGTGAAATTAAGATACCATTTACCTTAATACCAACAGATTGAAGTCGGAGGAACTACAGGAAGAAAATACTTCTGGAGAATAAAACAAACAAGAGCGCCTCTTCTGAAAGTCACATACTTTTTTCTGCATAGATTAAAACTTTTACCATGACTGATCATAAACTGTAAAGCAGTTCTTGTGTCTATCAGAAAATTCTGTTTTATGCGTGAGTTTCATGTCTTATACATGCGGACAGATAGAACTCTTCTACTGCATTATTGGAGACTTATCAAAAACAGGATGCTTTTTTCTTGAGAAGATGAAAAGTACAGAGATAAGCAGGGAAATAAAGACTGAAGTTTTAACCAATAATATTTTTGTGTGGTTATCAGAGGAATGTAATAATTAATCTTTTAATCATTCTGAAGATTGTGTGAAATCATAATATCTCATCTTTTCCAGCCTCAACCTGCCATTCTTGATCTGAATTACAAACAATAAGAAAGGAGATGATTTAATGAGCAACTTTGTCATGTTGCCATTTTGCCTTAGTCAAAGGCAAATGTCTAGTTTTGCCTCTAAACTAAAATGGAATAGACTTATGTTTCAACTATGCTTGCAACTGAGGCAAACGTGAATGGAAAAGTTAGTGCTATTTTAAAGCTAGAACCCTGGTGTCTTCGCATTTTCATAGAGACATAATTAAATACACACTGTTAAGAAGAAACAAACATTCGTTTACTAGAAAATAAAATCCATGTTGCGGAGAAACACACATGTATGAAAAGAAGTCTAAAATTTGACAAATAATAAACTAAATCCAAAAAGAAAGATTTCAGTCACAATGGCAATAGGTATGGTCTTATTATGAAGGAAAAAAAGCGTCAGCATGATTTAATCATACTCAATAAATAGGCACTTCAATAAAGTATATATTTACACTGGCTTTCTGAATGCTAGGGCATCACAAAGTAGTATGGCTTTATTACAATGGATGGAAGATGGCAACTACTTAGAACCCAGTGCCAACATGGATTATAACAAATCCAGTGAGTATTTTGTTTTTCAATTATTCATAGAAAATTTAATCCTGATTAAGTATCCTTGGGCAGGAATTCATGGGTAGTTGATGACTGAAACCAACATTTATTTGAAATGCTTCTGTTAATTTAATCTGTGTATATGGCTTAATTATGATTGAATCCTCAATGTAACAGAAATGAATTATATCAGGATTAAAATTCTAGTACCACATCACCCATTCCATTTTCTTTGCCTTTTTTTTTTTTTCCCCTTTAAAAGATGCGAGCCTGCTGTTTTAATTACCTTTATATTGCTATGTCTTCTAAGCCTCAAATACTGTTCAGACCTTCATTACTGGATGAAAATTTTAGTTACATTTATTTAAAAAAAAAAAAAAAAGGGGCAGATATGAACCCTGTTTTCATTCCCATTAAAATTTTAACCAGTATGAACATTAGTTGCAAAAAAGGCTTTTCTTTTACACCAATAATAAAGGAAAGTTTCTCGCAGTCAGTTGTGAACATGTTACATGTGTCTTCTAGAGGACTCTCCCTCTTTGGTTTCACCCTTCTTTTATACTTACACATACAATGCATTTTCTCTAAAGCATGAAAATAAGAGAATTTGTACTCATCGTTACACATCACGCCAATTTCACAACTGGCCTGTTTCAGACTTGTTTGAGCTTGTGGATGTTTTAAGAACTGCATTTTATAAGATCTTCAAACCTAGTATTGATATAAAGTAAGGACATTTTTTGTGGCTGTGAATGGGAGAGAAAAGATTCATTGTACTTTTCTGTGACACAGCTCAGCACCACATGCCACACATAAACAATATATAATTATTCAAATTATGGATTTTTCCACTCCACAATACCTTTAACAGATTAATCTAGGGACTTTGTCAGACCAAAGGTCTGTGAAGTGCCCCGATATTATCACTCACTTTTCCAGTGAAACCAATGTATCACACACCTGTAACAAAAATACTTGTGTATTTAGGTCATTATTGCACATTTATTAAATAATGTATTCTTCCTAAACATCTCAGAAGTGATGTCGATTTTTATGTCCAGAGGATACTGTTAGTGGCAATGTCACTGATGACAGTGAAGATACTTCCCAATATAGGCTATGAGATAGAAAAAGTCTGTAGAGGATAACCATGGAGATGCACTGACAGAGGATAACCCCTATGGTAATAATCTAGAGACAAAAAAGAGAGAAAAGGAAAAAGTAAGTGAAAAAACCCTAACACCAAACAACCCAAAATAAATTTCTATCAGCATACTGTGTCAGTGCTTGAGGTTTAACTTTAAACCTTTTAATACTGCTGCAGTTACAAAAGATTTGAACACGAATCTCAAGTCCAGGATTCAGACTCTCACACCTGGGTGTTTTTAAATCAGTAGATAGCCCTGGGCAAGTCACATAACCCTTCTGGCGGTCTCTGTTCCGGGGAATTTCAGACTAGCAATTCACCACCCATGCAGTTTCACAAGCAGAGGTGATGTTTAGATATTCTATTCTTACAACAAACAGAGCAGGGGAAAAAAAAGCCTGAAAACACTGCACTAGCAGAGTCATAGAGCTGTGAGGATAGTGATTTATCAGTCTCACTTAGCCAGACTGCTTCTCAGTGCAAGGCTTCATCTGTAAAAGATGTGTAAGGCAGTATTTATCAAATGCAAAAAGGTAACTACTGTTTTTGAGAAAGCAAAAGTCTAAGTTTATGAACAAGAAAATCTTAAAATAGATGTTTTTTCTTAAACAAATATGGTATATATTGATCATGCATTGCTTTACTATATTGAAGTGCATTCAAAGAAGGAAACACGGCTAAATTAACATAATGTAGGAACTGCAGCTGCACACAATGGTTAAACTTGCCCAAATGTAAGAGCAGAGCAAAGGTAATCTCCCTTCAGTAAGCTAAAAGTTTCAAAATATTGCAAAAATTTCCTTTACTAATCCTACCTCTAGAGATCGTCCCCCTGCCCTGATGATGTTTTCATCAAGCAACAATGAAAAGTCTCTTCATTAGTTGCTCTAGGGGGGTCTTTTTTTCCTCCCTAGATTTATTTTTTCTCTCTCTCTTTTTTTTTTTTTTTTTTAAAATCAAACGTGGTATTTCATTTACTATATGTTTTTAGTGGAACCTTTTTCTTTCCCTTGCTTATCCTCTACACCAATAAAAGCTCAGTTTCCAAAAATGCACAGATGGTTATAGCCATAAAGAAAAGATGCAAACTCTACCCTGGAATGAGGTAGTCAATCACCTGAGAATAGTGCACTTTATCTGAACATGGCAGGCTCCACACACTAGTTTTCTAGTTCCCTATATGTTTAAGCAACCAAGAAACCCAGTGAGTCCACCTTTGTTTTTAACTGTTTAGAGCTTACAAACCAAACTACATATTTGGACAGATTTCTTAATCTAAAGAATACAGTTCAGCTACAGGTTCCCTGACCTATTTAGCCACATAAAGCTTTTAAAGGATGAAGACTAAAAAGCAAACAACAACAAAAAAAATCCACTGATTTATCTTTCTACTAGCTTTGTTAAAAGAATCCCCAAGGTGTTTTTAATTAAAAAACAAACAAGCAAACAATAAAAAACACCCCCTCCACATTTTCCTTTGACTTAACAATCCCTCCCCGCCCCCCCCGCCCTTAACCTAGGAATGATTACCCTTAGATGATTCAAGCCCTGTATGCCTTTGTAAAATATGACTCACATTAGCATCAATGAGAGCTGTGTGACTAAGACTTTTCAAGTTGCTTTGGGGTCATAAGATTAACAGCCTAAGAGCATGAGTTTGCTAACAAACACTGAACATGAAGAACAACTACTATTCAAATTCCATCTCTTTTATCTTGCCTGTACATACCTTTTCTCTTTGATATTCTCTGAATATTACAGAAATGGTTGCAAGACATGGGTGGCACAAAAACCAGAGAATGCAGGCCTGAAAGAGAAGATGAGTATAAGTTATAAAATGACTACGTGCCAGTTTAGAAGAAAGAGATGACAGTTAGAGGAACTGCATTTACATTTCTGTCTATTTTATGAACCCATTGTTTAATTTTCAATCAACAGAATGAAAACCACACAATGAAAGGTGGGATTTCTGTTTAAAAAAGCTCTATACTCCTTGTCAAATTAAAATGACTACTCAGAGTATGATGACAGGGTGCAATTTAATCAAATCAGACACTTAAACATTAGCTTTCTTAAGGAGGAAAAGAGTTTAGTGCTTCAGTCAACTGCATGCCACAATTATATTTACAGCAGAAGGGATTAGTTTCCCTGATGTAACCCATACTTTGGCAAAGGTGATATAGAACTCCCTTTTCAGCGTGCTTCTCTCTGCTGTGATGATCTGGTGAAGACCAGCAGCCAGTGACAAAGCTAGGCAAACTCTGAGGCCAATAAGCAGTCCGCTTGCTAAGCCATGGTGTGAATGGTAGCTGTGGTGATTCGTATCTTCAAACTGCTCCCAGATTAATAAAAAGCTCTGGAAAGGAACAACAACAGCAGAGTACATTTAGAATAAACAAGGTTACGCTAAACCTCAATTAATCTTCCCATCACAGATTAAATTATCTGCACAACTGGTCATGCTCCGCTCTGCTTGTTGGAGACCGCCATGTTACACAAAAATCCCCTAGCCTGAACTGCTTTTTGGCACCACCTATTACTCCAAGTGCAACTGGCAGGAACAGAGCCTCACTTCTTGCATTCCATAACTTTTAGAAAGTTTGACAAGTTAAAGTTTCCTCTAATTTGGATAGAAGGAATGTGGCACCTTAGCATAAGATCCAAAATAATCATCTAGTTTAAACAGTCGGTAGCAGGAAGCCCACTGAAGTGATTCCACAGAGCTACAGGGAGGTGTCTCCTTCCACCTGAGACCCACAACCTGTAAAGCTTGTTTCAAAGGCAGGCGACTACGCCTTTTCTTTCAAAATCCTAACAGGATTCACTTTTCTTTTCAAAGATGGGGAAGTAAGAGGGTGGTGCTGCTGCCCCTTTTACACAATAGCCTAAAGGCTCAAGCATTCACCCAGGTTGAACCTGGATCTCCCACAATTCCCTTCTTTGCCTAAAGGATATCCAGCTCACATCTCCCACCTCCTTGGAGAGGGCCCCAACTGCCAGGCTATAGGCTGTTCTTGGGTGGGCCACTCTCCACCCCCTCCATTGAAGCCGTGCCATTGTGGAGAAAAGAATTCAACATCAGCTAGGTCAGAAACAGCGAGCGAGCCCGACTCTGCAAGCAACTGGCTCGGAAACCTCCTAGGGTCTAGGAAAGGGAGTGTCACAGGTTCCAAATGCCGTTCCAACATCTGGACGAACGCTCTAGCCGACAGACAACTACACGAAAGATCGTAATCCTCCTTAACTCTCAGCACTACATCCACTTGCTGCAGAATCCAATTTTGTAGGAGCACTGTGAGAAAGAATATTGATAGATTCTCTAAGGAAAAACAGACTACGAAGTGCCTAGTTTCTGAATCTTAGTTGGGTAGAAGGCAGGCGCCTACTTGTTGCATAAAAATTGGGTCTTGCTGAAGAATACTTTTTTAAGACTTTGGGAATGTTAAAGTTATAAATTAGAATACCCATAAAGTTTAGACTCTCCCAGCATCATGTAGCAGCTGAATGGCATTTTAAGACTTGCATATGCACTGGAATCCAGTCCACCTACTGCACACATCTAACTTGCACTTAGGTTTCAGGTGTCTAATGAAGCAGGCTTTCTGAAGAAAGGTAGGCAAATTTGATTTATATGAGTGAGGTAGCTCTGAAGGCCTTCAGAAGCAGACATTGTATGCCTCAATTTAGAAATCTAAATTAGTCAGATTCCTTTCTGAACACATTCAAAGGTTCTCTCACTACATTAACTACATAAAGACTAAAAGGTTACTGAAATTAACTTTTTTTTTTTTTAAATGTGTAATCCACCTGTACCTTCCAAAGGTAGGTGTCCTTGAGTCTCATCAGTCAAGACAGGATCATTTTCACTTAGAATATCCTTAGAGAGTACTCTCTCGCTTTTCCCCTCCCCTACCTAGGCCATGACACAGCAAGTATGGCTGCTGTCATTGCAGTCACTCCTCAACTAGCTGGACGGAAAATGGAAGGATGGGAGAGGGACAGACGTGAAGCATGCACGCCTTGAACACCACTGATTACTAGTAAACAATCTGACGAACATGCTTCAAATGTTCCCACCATAACACTCCATTTCTGGGTAACTCCAAGCAACGTCTTCAAATGATCAAATTACTTGACTGAGAATTCTGTCAAGGAGTAAGACTGAAATAAGACAGTGTTTGGTCAAGTTGTATCTACAGCACTAGTTTTGTCATGGAATTAACGAATTTCTATCACAGAAGTTATTTCAGTCCAGGTAGAACATGCCCAGGCAACAAGCAAGGGTTCTACCAGTTACAAAATCACTGCAGTCTGGTACAGAGCGTTTTCCTTTTTGACATTTACGCTTGGGAATAACCAAAGTATTAAACTTCCCTGAACTAGACATACACTGTCTAAGAAAATTTTAAAAACCCTCCACCTATGTATAGAATCTTCCCAACAAATGCATGCATCTGGGGGGGGGGAAGAAATATAGGCTGATGGGAGATGGAACTGTGATACTGCTTTAAGAAGAAACTTTAGGCAGATTCCAGGGATCGCATAACCTTAAACAGAACTCATGAGGGTTTGAATTCTCCTTAAGCTACACCAATAGCAACAGCAATGAAGGAAGTCACTTTCATGAGATGACGACAAAGAGCTGGAGTAAAGGAATCATGAGAACAAAGCTCAAATCCTCATGAGAAAATAGCGTCTGACGGCATGGTATGCTCTGGACTAGCCCTTTAAAGACTGTAAACCGTGTAAACAACACAGGAATCAGTTGATCAAAGACTGTGTAGTGACAGCAATGTAAGATCACAGAAGTCCAGCTTCCTTCAGCTTCATTAGATTATTCCAAAATAAGCAGAAGGCAGAGGCATTAGAGGCAGAGATGGAACTGTCAGTGCAGCTCACTGGAAAGTTGGACAAGGTAAATATGTGTCATTGCACTTACTATAAGCTGGGACTGTTCCCACCGGAGAAGAGCAGGATCCTATAAAAGAGCAATCTGTGCTATCGAGTGTTTCTAGGTTATACTGGATTAGGCAATCTGTTCTCAATGAAGGAAGAGCTTTCATGGACAATCATGATCTTGAAGTCAAAATCTCTTTGGCTGGCTATGTGTGAGAAATTAAGGTAAATAAGCCCTGAAGTCCCTTACCTTGACCACAGAAAGGCATACATCAGCTCACTTAGCTGCAATATCAGGAACAAGCTGAAAAAGCACCAACACCAACCTGCTGAAGTGGATACCAGAGACTTTTTTTGTTGGCAGTGAGCAGAACTATGTTTGAGCTCTGAGAAGAAATCAGGGGGGAAATCCTAATTTTTATCCAGAAGAACAACTCTGTTTTGGCTGTAGACAAAAGAATTGTATGAGCTAGGTAGCTGAAGAGCTGACTCGCACTAGCTGTGTCCAACATTAAAGTCAGAACTGCTTCTTCATAAAGTAAAGGAGAATGACCATCTCCTTGTTTACATAATACACTGTTCAAAATGCCGGACTTCACCTGCACATAATTTTGACCTATCCTGGTTCACAGTGGACACCAACCACTGTCCAGTACTGGTCTTCCTCTTCAAGTGCTAGAAGAATGTTTGCCACGAACATCATCCTGATGTTCCAGATATACAAGCTGAACCTCCACATCCATACAATGAAGAAGCAGACGCTATTCTTTTTTGTCATGAAGAAACAATTATGGTAGAACCCCTCCTCCCCTTCGCTATGCCAACACTGACTTTATGGCAAACCAAGGTAACATACTAATCTCCAGTAAAGGCAGGTTCTCATGGGACAGATCATCTGAGAGGCAAGGGGAAGGGGGAAGCAAAAGGGAAATTAAAAGCAGCAGCAAGGCAAAGTGGATTAACTAGCTGCTTCTAACCACATCTAGCATTTGGTTATCTGATGTCATGCAATGCCAGTACAGTAAAAAATGGTTTAGATCCAAGGTCAGAGGCAGAGCTCATTCTGAGCACACCTTTGGGGTGTACCCAAGAACCCCTGTGAAGCGTGACATCTAATGCAGTTAAGATTCTACATCATTTTGGTCAGGTTCAAAGTGATCACCTGTCTTTCTAGAATCATTGCCTCCACTCCAATCAGTCCTGAAAGCTGAAACTGCTCAGGTCTATGGGATGAGAAAGGCCTGCCATCAATAAAGTTTTGAACAAAGTTTGTGTCTCAGCAGCAGAGACTGGAATCTTTAATGAATACAGAGAGGCCTGGGAATCTTTTGTTCTGAGGCTGAAATAAAGAACAAGTTAAGGCAAAGGGAGATGCTGAATGACAGACTTGTCCCTCCTTTGAGATGCTACCTCTTTGCAGCCACAAAGACCACAAGAGATTTGCTGACTAGGAGGCTGTGTCCACCCTACACTGATGGTAACCTGTAAACACAGCCTGGAAAATTGCTGGTGTTTCTGAAAGAACAAAAAGAAAGAATCCATAGCATCAGTACAAAGAGGAGAAAAAACCCCGAAAATTTGCTGAGTAATTTGAACTAGTAGCAGGCAAACAGGGTCAGATAGTGTGCCAGTCAAAAGTGCAGTTAAGTTGAAGAATAACATGTTTTCCCAGGCTATCCACTTTCTTGACTTCCCTGAAGATAAGATGAGGCTAGGTAGTGTAGAATGTCCATAAAACTAACATGGTTCCATCTCTATCTGCTGCATTAGGGTAATGCATGTGGTTTCCAGCACCCTCCACAGCAAGTCCTCAGAACATCTCTGATTATCCATGTAAGTCTGTCCAGCCTCTGGCATGGGAGGAAGCTGGCTCTCCCATAAGAATCTCTGGGAAAGAGCAGGACAGAAAGGACGTTATTCTAGGTTTTTACTCATTAAAAGTGATCACCGATTGCCCTGTTACAGCAGGTCCAACACCCATGTCAATCTAGACAGGCCAGTGAACAACAGACTAATCCAGAGAATGAAGTCTTGAGCTCACCACCTTTAATAGAGGCAATGTGGTCTGGATCCTGCTCCCCAAGGCTTAACAGCCACATTCTGTATGAATGAGAAGAAATCTGGCAGAAGGTATATTTTGTAAGTACTGAACCATGAAATGGAGAACATCCTCTCCAGAAAGGGCAAGGATACTCCTGGTGTCCGGGAACTTTTGCTAGAGACAGCAGACACTGAGACAGGGGTGCTGACGCAATTTTGTGCCAATGCTCCAGTGGTGTGCGAAGAGCCAACACAAGTGTAATGGACCAGTACTGGGGGAAGCAGCATATATGCGTGGTACCTGCCCCAATTTTTACCACAAGTAACAACCAAAAAAAGATCAAGCTGATGATACTGAGCGTCCTTTCTATGCATAGTAAAAAGGAAACAACAAGAAAAACTTTCCACTCTCAAGTGACAGAGTACTAACACAGCTATATGTATGTACAAGTGGAGAGAGGCATGAATAAAATTAAATACTTTAGAAGTCGTCTTTACTACCGGCATGTAAAATTTCTGGTGCTACATGGGTGTCAAAGTAAGGTGGAATGAACCTATCTTTAAATTTCAACAGTCCCATTGACCTTAATAGCCTTTGGTTTATATTCTTAATTAGCAAGAAATGTCACCCCCCAGCTACTCTTAATGTTTTCGCAGTCCACTTATTTAGTTTGGAAGCAGCGCTAATTACAGATACTACTCAAATGGCACAAAATCTTCCATATAATCTCTTCCTCATTACTGTCTCCAGTTTCTCCCTGCTCTTCTCTTTCGCAATGGCTTTCAGATTCTCTTGGCTTTATGCTGTGATTTAAAAAATTTGTTTACAAAAGGCACCACCAGGGTTGGATGATCTCCATTACAATTTACTTTTAAGTTACTGGTTTACTTGACTTTGTAATTTATACTAATGGAAAAATATTTGAATGAAATTATGTGTCAGACCATTTGTGTATTTGCAAGACCAATCCTGCACATGAACCTTTCAAGAACTCCCTTATATTGACTGAAAAGACCATTAGACATCCTGTTTGAGTGGTTCTAAGAGGACACTGAGGATTTAAATTTTTTTTTTTTGTGACAGAGAGAATTTCTCACAGCAGCTTTTCTCATCTTTCCTCTCATGCTGCTTGTTGTTAACCCCCCACAACATAGTCACAACCCCGCAGTTGTACTGACTACAACTATTTATAGGACCACATTATAAATTAGATCAGCAAAATGACTGTGCTGAAATCTCTCTTTTTTTCCCCCCCCTCTCCGATCTAAATTATTCCACTGATCTGGTTTACAGTATAATGCTACAAACAATTGGCACAACCAGGAGTTTGGAAATCTGTGGGAACTTCTTAAGTGGTTTTACTGCTGAACAAAAACATACTGTGGAGCTGCACCTTAAATTGTTAAAGTAAAGAGAAGGTGTTGTTACCTATTAGACATACTGGGTGCACATAATGCTGTGGGTTTATTTTTCCAGTCTTGATACTCCCTCCCTCATAAAATATTGAAATTAGTTGGTTCACAGATCTGTCATACTTAACAGCAGCTGTATATTTCAGTATAAGAACGAATATAAAATACAAACCTGTGTCACAACAACTACCACAGCAATGCCAGTAGATGTTGGAGTGGAATCCCACTGAAGAGGTCTGCCATGAGATTTCTTCATTCTGCCTATCGTCCAACCCATACACAGACTCAACAATAAATACAGCATTTGTATCTGTGAGACTATGTCACACACTATTGAAAACAAAAGAAAAACAGAGTGACACAAAAAATAAAGTTTTTTCCAAAGCAAAGAGAAATGTTCTATATACCCACAAATGAAGGATGAACATTTATGCCTCATAATTTTGATGATAGTTTGACTAGCTGATGTTGCTTTGCCACAAAATGTGGATATTTCGAGTATTTTCCAGTGATCAAACAGATCACTATCAGCTTTGCTCTAGTTATGCTGCAATTCTGCAACAACATGGGCACAGCGCCACATCTTTCCAAATCCCACTCTTGTGTCAAAGAAGTCTGGGCTTCTGGGCAGAGTCCATCTGCATAAACAGACTTATAAACGCTAAAGAACTAAAATCATATGTATGTTAATCACACTGCAAATATGAAACATGATGAAATGAACTCCTCCTTCCTTTGCTCTGAAAGACTTTTGTTCAAAAATCAGATAGTTGCATTGTACTTTAATTGCACTTTGTCTGAAGGATGCAGTAGCTTGCAACAGAACGCACAAATATTTAGGACAAATTCCACTCTCACATACTTAAAGGGGAAAATATAATGAATAACCCTAACACAAACTTCATTTGGAGCAACAACTTGCCTGTGTTTCATTTCATTAAATGCAAACTACCTTTGCCTCATTTTGCTATGTCCATTTTTTGCTCTGTTTGGGAACAATTAACACATGCTCCATAAAGGTACATTCTTAATCACTGTCTCAAACCTGTGTTTGAAGCTGTATCTGAAAAAAGAAAACTTGAAGCTAGAACATATTAAAGCCTTTACTTGTTACCCTTGCTAAAGTACTACTGACAGTAGAAAGAACTGAAGATTTCTTTCTGGGTGATTGTTAGATTTAGACCTGATAAGTTTTTGACTGAAACTTATCGAACAATTTTTAAGTTGGTGTTTGGACTTGAGAGTAAACCGGCTCATTGTACTGGCATAGCAGAGATATACAAGAAAAATTGATCCTTATATTAGGTAAATTGCAAATTTGGTTCAGAAACTAGAGATTGGGCACTACACATAACAATGCTTTCTTTTTCACTTGATTAATATTTTAGTCCAATTAAATTTGTTCCTTATTTGTAATTTTCACTTACACTATTGGATACAAGAAAAATATTTGTCACAAAAGCAAACAGTAATCAAAAGCAAAACAGATCCTTCTGTTTTTATACAACTGGACTGTATTATAAAAGAGAAATGTACTTCCATATTTACTAAAAATATTGGAACAGAAAACGTTGCCAGTGTACAGAGATTAATATGCACACAGGGAAGCGTGTCAAATGAAGATGAGCTACAATATTTCCCTGACACTCAGCAATACAAGCAAAATATGGATATAAAACAGACTTCAACACGTTTTTCCTGGGATATATTTGGTATTCTCAGAGTTTGTATGCTTAAATGCTTCTTAATGTGTTCATACACCTTTGCTGTTTAAGAAGTGTCAAGAGCTTTTAGTAAATACAAACTTGCTCATTGTTTAATAAAATGAGCAGGCACTGATTTTGGGCAAAATGATCTCGGAATTATTTTACATTGCTAGCTATGGATAGTACTCGCTAGAAAAAATTGTTACATTGTTATGTGAGCTCAAGGCGTGCCAAACCAGTGTCACAAATCCAAGCTAGAGAAATGACTGAGCAAATCTGGACGTTCTCGGGAGCATTTTATTTTCTGTCACTCCTTAAGATAACTTGCCCTATAAGTTATAGCCAGACATCATCTCTCAGTCACATCCTGGATATTGATATTGCGCTTGCTTCAGTGTGGCAACAGTTCAAGTAGGTTCCCAGACAAAATGGTTTAAGACAAAAGTTCAGTACCGTCTTTAATCTTTGACATCTCATACACCTTGCCAGAAAGTAAGAAGGTTGAGAGAAATTTGTAAAGTTACAATAATCCCACAATATCCAGGGTCAGTGTAAAGTCACATGCTACTGAGCTGATACCGCATTTGTCTGATTTCATCACAATTAAGCTTTTTTGTCTGTTCAACGGGCATAGTAATATTCTTCGACTTTTCACATTTCGATCTTATCAAAAGTTAAAAGATCACTATTTGTGATGCTTTTGAGTGCCAGCATTATTTGTGTGATTTATATGATTAACTTCATCGATAAATTAGACTGAGGGTGAGGTCTTCATACATGGTAAAGACTAAATGAAGTTAGGAAAAGAATAATTGCTTGGGATAGTGTCTGAACAGGTTTCTAGAAAGAAATTCTGGCCCTGCTGAAGTCAACAGAAATTTTACCATTTACTTTTAACTCAGATTTCTGTTCTGATATAGGAAAAATGGTAGCATCTTCCATCTTCAAACTATACTACTTGCTATCAGCCATTCTTCAGAAGTGTAACTGACACTGAAACCTTCCACATTTCTATTACTTCTGCTCTTCTATTGTTTTGGAAACCACGAATCTTAAAAAGAGTAGGAAAGGAAAACTCTTTAATTTAAGGAATTCAGCTATTGATTAAAAAAAATTATTTTATTCTTAACCTTTAAGCAAATAAAAGTGGGCTCTTCACTATGATACATACACAGAAAATCTAACATGCATCTCAAGTTCTGGCTGTGTAGTTAACACTGGGTTTCTCACTGTGGAGGAGTTATGACTACCTCCATATTCTCTATTTAATTTAATTTCAGGAGATGAGAGGGAAAGTTTAATAATACAGTTGCTGGAGAGGCTGCAAGGAGCTGCTAACTCAAATGGTTAAAACAAGAAAGAGGCAATTACTGTGGTGCCAAGTGCCATCAAGAGGCTGTTAATTCCAACTGCAAGCTTCTCCATGAACTCCAGGAAGGGAAATATTTTTCTATATAGGCTGTTACTCTCCAAGGCTATCTTGTACCACCACAGTACTACTTTCTTGGGATGCTTCAGGCCAATCAAAAGGCAATGTATTTGCTCAGAAACAACCCTCCAATGCTTCAAATGTGAACTACAGGAAAAAACCCAACGATGTTTAACCCTGAAGAATCCAGCAGCAGTAAATTAGAGCATTTTGGGAAGGGATGTTATAGGAATTCAGTTTCAATGAGAACTCAGAATATCTACGCAGAGTGGAGAAAAATGCTTTGTTAACATCAATTCTTTACACAGGCATTTTCTGCATCACTCTAATCATATAACTTGTGCTATAAAATGCTTACTTTTAAATTATAATCAATGTTAAATTTGCTAGTGAAATGACACACTCCATAAAATATGATTAAGTTTCCTCAAAAGCTTCACTACTCTAGACCACGCAAACTCCGCAAAACCCTTCAACGTACTGAAACGTTTACTCACATGATAAGCATATTTTAAGTGGTTGTAGGATGGAATCTTCAGACAAGAAAATATTTTTAAAAATCCTAAACTATATCACACTTGTATAACTTTAAATACAGTTATTGTAAACATCCAGAATAAAGCCTGTTTTTCAGAAGAGCAACTTTTAGTATTTTATATTAAAGATCCAGTGGTATGGTCCAAGATCGTAATACAACAGGATTTGGTAATGTACTATACAGATTAATGTGTAGGAATATGTAAGAAACAGTAGACAAGCATACTCACATTCTGCCAGACTTCCCATAAAAGGTGCTCCCACTCCATCTCTAGAGTAACTGATAGAAGAATAAAAGATGGTATCTTTAAGTGAGAATCTTAAACGTGTGTTCTCTCTTAAAAGTACATTTAGGCAATGACACAGTTCTAAAAAGTCAGTCCTATGTTTTGTCACAATCACCACTGGAAAGATCATGTACTGATCTTTACAACACAATGTTCTTCAAGTCTTAAGACTGAAAGCAAAAATAAGGAAAGATACCTTGAGAAATGCAGGTAGTTGGCAAAAGCTGAACCAGCCTGCAACAGCAATGCAACTGTCAACACCTTTAATACAGTATGCATAGGTCCACGCTTCTTAATTGTTTGCCATAGGGACTGTGCATATATGCAAGCAGTTACGAAGTATGCTAGGACAAGCAGGAAAAAGAATTCATGTAATCCTGTGAAAAAAGAAATACAGCTTAGTTTTTATAAAGAAATGTTGCTACTAGCAGTAAATAACTAAAACAAAATGTTTTTTATATAATCACTGGGAAACACTTAGTAACTGTCACACAAAAGTGGCAGTACAGATAAAATGTGTAAATCAGACCCTATTTTATCCAAGAAAGTCAGTGAAATTTTTCAGAGAGCTGATTATTGTTTGACCTGACAAAGTATTTTTTATTCAACAATACCTTTTCTGGGTGTAGGAGAAATTCTGTTCAAATAAAAATAGCTTTGTAGCAATTACTACAATAGTATAAAGTGGCATACAGTTTATTGATAAACAGAAAATAATTGTAGCCCATTTGATCAGTCAGAAACATATTTATTAAAGGACTCATTTTTAGCTTTTTTTTTTTTGCTTCAATTTTTAAAAGCCCAATTGAGATGAGAGAAACCCAGAACAGACTTCTGTTGAATCTATTTAACCACTGGGTGTCACTCTTACTCCACATAAAGTAGGTAGTCCAAGAAGCACAGCTGACCAAGAAAGAAAACTTTTACATAAAGCAAAATGGAAAGAAAAATAGCACAGAGAACAATAAGTTCATAGAGTGGATTTTTTCGCACCAATCTGAAAAAATGCCCTAAGTTTTTGATATTATTAACAGAACAGAAGTCCTCTAATTTTCAATCTGGCAGTAGTCTGGTAAAATGCTTCTCTGAAGACCTGGATCCTGGAAGTCTTTTCTATTGTCCGGGAGCTTTGGAACCCACCATATGAGCTCCCAAAGGGTCAAAGCCAGTGAGCTATAAGCAAAAAAATGGGTAAACAGAAGTTTCTCACAAAAAAAATTATGTTTTTCTTCTCCAGCCCACAGAATCAGATTCTGAACAATGTTTTTCCTCCAGCAGCAAAACAATTCTGCTAAAAACTTCCAGCAGCTCCACCCAGAGATTAGAAAGAGAGCAATTATACACATTTCAATATCTAAGTCAAAGAACATTAGAACTGGATGAGTTCTGAATAGTTGCTAGTACTGGAACTTCTATGGCTAAAATTAATCAGTTTGGACATACATACAGTGAAACGGGAGAAAAAGAGCATAAGGTAATAAAGACTCATAAAACAAAAATGTCAGGGCCACTCTGCTTCTCTTGTATACCTATACAAAAGTATGATTTATGACTGAAAAATATGCGTTTTAGATCAAATCTCTTATTCTTTCTTTCACTCTTTCTTCTTCAAAAGACGCACACTGAAGTTGGCAAGGATTCTGCAGATAAATTATTTCTTACCATGATGAGGGTACACATGGAAAATTCTTTAGGAAAATCAACTAGCTTTTAATAAACACTAAACCATTTAGGATAGAAAGCTCCTTCCAGCCAAAGATGGTTTGTGGATGATTCGCTCGAGACCAAACGGATTTAAGAGAAAGTTGCACTGAAACACAACTATAAAAAAAACCCAGAAGGGTAATTTTCAACCTGTCTTTTTTAAGTTTCCTGACTTTTAAGTAACCTAGAGTTGACAGAGAAAATAAAACATATGTACCTGAATTTGAAATACCTAACTTCAAAGATGTTCAAAATGCTTTCTACCTGGTCAGCTGCCCTTAGAAATCCTACATTCTGCTGGTACCATGTCTTCCGTAAAAAACCCTACCATATAAAATGATAAAAGATTACTTGCTAGGGATCAGAAGCCAGGCCTCCTCCTCTCTCACAGCAAACATCTTAATCACAAGGTTACAGCCTCAAGTTCTTTCCTATACTTTCCTTACAGTCCATTTAATTTTGAGATCTCCTGTGTCAGGCCACAATTTCAGTAACTAAAGTGAAGGGTGACCTAACTACAGTCATCTGGAACTATGTAGTTTTTAGTTGCCTGTGTGAAAGAACCAAGAAATGAAGCTAGATCTCTTCTTTCATGCCCTAATATTCTATGCTGCACATCTCTATGGAAAAAGGACAAAAATTATTCCCCAAAGACGCGTTTTAAGAGAGTGAGAGAGAGAAGAAATGCTTGTCAGTTCTTTGAAAGTAGACACAGGCATGCAACTTCAGGATTCATGGCAGTGTTGCAGGTTTTAATTCTGAATAAACAGAGGTGTTCCTCTGCAACCGTGGAAGACACGGCATGTAGAGCTCATCCTGTTTCCTACTTGTTAAATCTAAATACGTGCATCCAACACATTTATCAGCATGTAAGCTGTTCAGAGTTCTGCTTGCAAGTGCTCAAAGTCTTCCTACAAAATTAACATAGAGCTGAGATGCCTCTCTAGGAGGTCTGTACACAACTTTTAAGGGCCACATCATATCTTATAGCTGCTCTGCCCCTTGATTTAGCAAAAGAATGCTACTACTGCTTTTTGAGAGTAAGTAAATTAACCTAGAATTCACTTCTGGATAGAGAATTCACCAAATAAAAACTGTCAGCTAAGTTTGTAGCACAATTAAGAAGTTAGAGACAGGTAGGTCAACTTATAAGCCTTGAAAAACAGATTATTAAGAGTGCTGCTTTCTTATCGATTCTGCTAAATGTTTCAGTGAATATTCTCTTCCTTTCAAAAAGGGAGCTGCCTTTGTTCCCTCTATATCCTCTTGAGACCAAGAATGACAGCAGGGCACACGATTCTAAGCATAGCAATTAGGCTTATTCTGGGTATGTAGGTTAAATGTGTATATGAAGGCAGACTAAGCCTATTGGGCTCTTCCCTTACAACAGACTTAGGTTAGTGACATGTCAATGAGGCCTCCCAGAGCAGTGAAGCTAAGCACTGAAGCAAAGCATACATTACGTTGGTCCAATTGTAGGACTTTTCTTTGTAGGACAATTGTAGAAGTTTTTCTTTGCAGGTTTAAAGACTTAAAATTGCATTTCTAAAATAAAATAAAATCAGGACTGACAAATATCTCATCTAATCTGTGGCCGATGACTAAGATACTTAGAAAGACCTAAACATTGAACTGAAATTGCATTGGCGAAGTGTTATATCATGCATGTACTCGTGTTGCACAGAATCAAATTTTACACAGCTAAGGAGTTTCATGAATTAAATAAGCAAATTAAATCAAAACCAGGGATTAAATTCACATTCAAGCTGGAGCTTACAGTTTCAACAGGGGAAAAATACCTATTACCAAAGATGTCAACGCTATCTTTCCTTGTGCATTATGCTTCCAGTTAGGCAAGTTTTGGAAAGTCAGTCTAGAGAAAGGGAAGGATTTTTCTGTAATGCCAGAAAATTAAAGTTTATTCTCTGTGAGAAAATAGAATCTGAAATACAAGAGACTCTGATATCCGTTCCCCAGTGTCACACTTTTCCAAGCACAGTAAGTACTGATTTGTTTGGGTGATCACATCCTTAACTTACAAATCTAATTTTAAGAAAAAAAATCTTACCAGATTCCCCTGCGCTAAAGTGATCTAATGGATTCCCTTCTGCATCTGGGTTTAGTAAGACCATTTCAAACTGAATATCCTCGGATTCAGAATAATTCTCCTCGCAGGTAAACTTGTCTACATAAAACACATACCATGTTTCCGGATAAGGAATCTGGGACACTGTCAGATTTTGCTCTGTGTGGTTCACAGTCACTTTGGAAGAAAAAAAACAAACAAACAGCAGTGAATACTCAATTAGTTTGGTTTTAGAAAACTCATCTCTGACTGAAGATAAAATTTAAATCCACAACATCACATACAGGTTATAAGCTACATACAGTACGAAACAGTCTTTGTTTTGAAAGCCAACCGTAACACCAGAGGCCGGACTTCTCTTCCCGCCTTTTGTTTCAAATAGGTGCAAGCAAGGGTTGGTGAGGATATGTACCGCATTGCATCTCTCAGCTTTGGGTTCGCTGGGAGGGTTTCCTTCTGCCAGAAGCCAGTAACTGCAAAATGTGTCTCCCATGCTTAGCACACTTCCACCCTCTAGTACCATATTGATGGGACTCGCTGTTTTCTATCAGCCAACAGATACTTCTGCAGTATGAAAAATACCTTTGTGAAATTTATTCTACTCTATTTTCAAAAACATTTAGAGCACTGGACAGGAAGACCCACATGCAAGATTGATAAACAATAGTGTGCATGCTTTCAAGGTGCAACTTAGCATATTTTATAGCATCTTTCCCAAACCATAATAGACTGAATTTCAATTGACAGCTAAGGGCAGAGACCATTGTCTAATAAAATTGAGTTTTTCAAATCAGTTTGCATTTAAAAACAACTACGTAAGAGACTGAAGTTTCATCTGCTCTCATTGATCTTACCACTATTTTTTCCAAGAGCAACTATTAACGAATGCACAATCTCTCCAAAATAAACACTTGCTGAAAATTAAATCTGTGGCTCTATACGTTTGGGTGAAACTATAAGAATAGTAAATACTGTTACACTGATTACTGAGCTTGAGTGCTAATCAGCTCAACCATAAATGAAAGTCACCTCTGTAGAAGAAATAACAATATAATGACTGGACTGTAGATTAATACACCTTAATGGTTTAAGATGACAATGGCTAAGGATGAAGAAAGAGAAAAATTTCATTAAAATTCTACAGAACAAACTGTTTGGTTTTTATGCAAAGGCCTTTCTATATGAAAAGGGTGCAAACATACATACAAAACAACCCCTGGCAAACTCATTATCCCTAAATATTTCGTAGACAAAATTTAGAACTAATTTCTAACTTGAAGCCTACCTGTGAAAAACATTTATATAATTTAAATAAACTTGTTTCAATTTCAAGAAGTTATTTTCTGTTTTTAGAAGGCATGAACTGATCAACATTCAGATCCAGGAAGAAACATATGATGTGTCTCTTTGCAGCAATTGTCATGAAGTACAAATTGCAGACAACACATGAAAAAAGTGTTCTAACACAGGCAATCTGTCTTGTGTAGCTAATGGTAAGCATGCATTCCACTCTGGAGCTACATATCAATCAAATATATAAAGTGAAACAGCTCCCTTAAAAAAAAACCGGTATTTTTAAAAAACACAGTTTTAGGATTTCATACGGTGCTCAATCCAAAGGCAAACTGCAGCTGAGAGGGGTAGCTTTACTTTCCATCTGTACTTCAGCTGAGTTCTGACACAGTGTTATTTGCATCGAGCCTAAGGATCACACAGAGCGTGTTTAATCAGTTTTCCATCAAATCTGCAAGCTAACTCACAGGAAATGAAGTAAGATAAAATAAAAATATAACTGATTTTTCCCAAGATCAGCAAACAGATCCAACTCACCCTGTGGTCACATGATTCCTAAACACAGTAGAAAACAGCGACTGCATTGCTGGGGCAGACAGGAGTGGTGGACCAACTGCTAGTCATTTCAGCAGCACCTCGTGTTCAGCTCAGATCAAGTGTAAGGGAACTACATCCTTAGAAGTGACATCTGTATAAGATCTCATTATGACAATGTTCCAGGAGATCAATTTGTTACTCTAGGGATTCTGGCCGCACAGAGGAAATGTATTTAAAAAAGAAGCTGTATTCACTTAAGATATATTTCAATTAAGTTTCTAATATTAATTTAATTTCTTAAAGGAAAATTTATGCTTTAAGCAGGTTTTATAATATTATGATCAATAAATGGTGCAAAAATGATTATTTGAATATGTTTGTCTTCCAGTTACATAACCGAATGCTTCAATGTTTTACTGTTCTTTTAAATTTAGATGGATACTCAAGTTAAGCGTTATCCTGATTAGCTCATCTTTGATACTATACTAAAAAAATTTCTAACACATTTTGTACAAAGTGTGACAGGTTTGCGCTGCTATGAAAATATCCTTTTATTTTTGTTTTCTTGTCTTTGAAAAATGCCATTTCCACAGAATTGAAGAACGCGAGCCTCCTGACAAATGAGAAATGTTCCTCCATAAACAAAATACAACAACATAACCTGTATATTCTGTACCAGTATAATTATCAGCTCAAATATTAAAAACTTTTGAATGGGAGGTTCAGCAATGAATACCAAATTACAAAATTAAAGGGTGAAAACATTAAATGATAATGCAGGCAAGTTACAAAGTAAGGCCACATAACCCGGATTAATTTTCACAGATGACCTTACAGACAGGGGCAAAACAAAACAAAACAAACAGCTAATGATTATGAGGTTGGGGGGGCGGGGGGAGAAGAACAGAGAAAAAAGGTTTTCAGGTATAAAATTACCCTTTTACTGTGTACTTGGGCTACATACTCCCACCTTACAAGCATTCACTTCAGAAGTTTAGAGGTAACTGCAGCAGGCTCCATCAGTTTGCCTCTAATTTTTTTCATCCCACTGCAATAAAAGTCACAATTCAAACCGTACATGCGACTGTCCGAAACATTTAGATTCTCAGGTTCTTCAGTTTCATATTACAATGGTATTCTTTGTAAATTCTTTCAAATACTCAACATAATCTTTTCTATGGAAAAGTTTGAGATTAAAACAAACAAACAAAACTTACTCCAAGCGGAGTTAAAGAAAAGAAAATCTCTGTATTGAATGAGTAAATGAAAACTTCAGCCAAACACGTACCCTTTCTGAGTTGTGTACAAGTGAGAGCACGAGACTAGAACTGGTCATAAAGTTTGGCTGTTTACATTGAAGTCATTATTTGTCAAGGATTATTCATCTTCTGGCAGTATACTAAATCATAACTTGCAAACAAAGTCTTCTGAAATGATGCAAACCAAGCAATTTTATTTCCTTGTAATAATTTTTAATTACAGAAGGCCAAAGTCCTGCTTTTACCTAAGTTGACGCAAAGTCCAAATTCACTGAAATAAATACTCTAAACACACAGATAACAGGGTTCTAAATACAGAGATAACTTAATTTGTAAGGGGGGAAAAAAGTAGCAACTCACTTGTCAGCTGAGCTTTAGAGAACTTCTCTGTACAGCTGTGATCTTGGATACTGTTCTGCAGCTTCTGCCATTCCTGTGCTTGAAACAGGTGAAGTCTAGCTGCTTTTGTCACAGCTACTGCTACGTTCTTGATTCTGACACACAGAACAGCATGGTCACCTTGATATTTAAAAAATAAAATCAACTACTCTGCCTTCATGTCAGTTACAAACAAAAAGCTAGCATGGCATAGATTTTTCAGAAGTGGCAGCAGTATATCTTCACTTTATTTCTTAAACTTTTACCACTACTTCCCATAAAAGTCTTTATACTCTTTCAGAAACAATTTCTATACATCTCATTAATACAATACTGCATGCACGATTCTCTGTGATGGTACTTAAACTTTCACCATAACCCAAATTTCATTAACCTTCTCTACTACAAACAGCCTTCCATCTCTTACCTCTTTTTTTTTTTAACAGACTTCCAGATAACCTTTTTTTATTTCCTCCCACCCCAAATTTTATTTTCTGAAGTTCAAGACAGTGTCTCAATCAGTCTCAATAACTGGTTCAAAGTCTAGTATTTTATGACCTTTGTAGCATGATTATGAGCATCATATGGTAGCTCTTGAGTCTAATACCAGAAGAACTTATGTAAATGAACCTTCATGTTATGGACTGACTAGAGCTAAAATACTTATTTATAGATGACAGATGTCAAACTGATACAAAGAAAATCAAACTTCAAAAGTGTTCTCTAATGTGTCAGTCTACCTACAGGCTGCATCTTGACATAGAGAAACATTTTAGCCATTTTAGAACTAGCTCATTTGACACAATTTATCTTGTCTGGTGATTCTACAATCCTCAAACTTATTTTGATAAGTTCTTTCATTATATAGTGCCATAGACTTCTTTAACATAACAGTATCCTAAATTAAAAGGTAGGATTTAATGGAGAAGAAAAATCAATCAGTACTGCAAGAACACCAACACATTCAAATTTAAGGAAGCTTTGTATGGTTTTTAAACTGTCACAGCAATCTTCTTTCTCACCTAACCTAGGCACCAGCTGGATGCGAGTCAACAGGCTACTACCAGCTTCACATAAGGCTCTGCCAGGAAGGTTTGCCTGTTCAGAGCCAGCTGTGAGATAGTGGTCCTGCAATAAAACTTCAAAAAAGGTGATCTCCTAGGATCTGTAAAATGTTATATGTACTACAGTTTACCTAAGTTGCTGATAAAAGATTTTGAAAAATTAACAGAAGGTTCTAAAAAAAGCCCATGTGGCTTCACTAAGACTCAAAATACGTATAGTTGTGGGTATTCATGCAGAAAGAGGAATATTTCTAAGGAAATATGCAACATCAACTTGTAGAATAAATTATATCTGAACACCTAAACCACTCATCTTGAACCTTAACAGTCTTTTCTCAGATTTAAGCAGTGCACTTTTTTTTCTTTAAATCTATTTAGAGCACTTCTACAATTATCTTCTAGGACAGTGATAATTAGCTGCTTTCAAGTCACTCCACAAGCTAACCCCACCCTATCTATCATCTCTCATTCAGCGCTGGAAGGTCACATTCCAACTCTTCTTGGCTTATGTCACACTTTCCTGTGTCCCAGTAGATTTTTTTTTTTCTTGCAAACATTTTTGTTTTCCTCTCACACTACTCCCCCAGTCTGGGAGGAAGCCTGGGTAAATATGTGAAGTATTATCTTCATGGTCGTCTTCCAAAGCATTCTGCAGAACTCCTCTGCCATTAAGCTAACTGAGAAAGAAAATAGTCTAAGCTACAGAAAGGCTGAGCATATAGGAAAAGCATGCTGACCAGCACAGCCTCGTTATATATGGTGCTCACCATGCTTGCATATATCCCTTTTTGCAAAGTAAAACTTCTCTAGCAAGGAGAATCATTTCCAACCTGTATTTCTGCAGCGGCCATTCTAACAGGATTCTAGCCCGTTGCCAGGCCTCTTAACTAAGAATCAGGAATTGCTACTAACCAGGAATTAACAACACAGGAAAGAAAAGCCACTGGGAACAATCAGGTGAGAACGTACATTCTGACGCACGGCGACACTAGAAAGCCCCAGTGATGTGGAAGGGACGCGCAACGCTAAGCGCTGCCCTCGTCCGCTGGAGCTCCAGGAGAGCTGCACGTGGAGGTCACAACGCCTGCGCTCTGCCGGCCGCCCCCGCCACGTCAGGCTGCGGGGCGCCGGGGGCGGCACGGCGCCGACCGCCCGCAGCAGCGCCTTCCCACTCTCGGAGAAACGGCGACGCCGCCGAGGCAGGACGAGGGGCTGCTACCGGCTCCTCTTCCCACTGCCCTGGTGCAGCGCCGCCTGGGGCCGGCGGGGTCCCGCTTCTG